TTAGAGAGCTACGCCAGCCTGTCGCGACATCTCGCCCCTGAAAACAAAAACATGCTAAAGTTTCGAAGCTCCGAGGACTGCCAAACGGTGTATGGTGTATCAAAATAGCTTGCCGTTAGCACTGCAGACAGCGTACGTTTTGTGGCGTAGTGGTTAGCGCCGTGAGCTGAGAATCGAGAGGTTGCTAGTTCATTTCTGCTCGACGGATGCTTCTGTTTTTTTTTTTCGCAATCTCATGGTATTTGTTCTTTACCGTGACTTCCGTGACGGAAGCACGTCAGCAAAGCCGTGGTGGAACCCGGCATAAAACACTTTCGTATTAACGCGTTTCTTTTTGTTTCAACCGATGAGTTTTATAGATCACTCAAAGCGGCTTGGTGGGTCCACGGACACCAACCTTGGTCTAGAAAATGTGCCGGTGGTGCGCGAGTGCGAACTGAAAATTTACGTATACACGTTTCTGAAAGCTAGTTTCGGTTCCTACTGTACTCTGACGTCAGGACGCGATAGGAGTTTTTCGTCAGCTGCTCGCGCAGCATATCGCGACGTTTTCACGGCCACTCTGCTTCGCTTCATTGCTGACTCGCAACCACAACTTTGTATATTTTGGTATCTGACGTCATCACACCCGCTATAAGGATGCATGAATTCACGAAAATTCATACTGCTGAAGTTACGCCAGTGTCGATGTCAGTAGGTATATCATGCGATTGAAATAGTTTATCAGCACTTTTTAAGCTTCGCGCTTGCTAAGAGAGGTCTCTGTTTGCAGGCGGTCAACTTCTCTGCCTTTCTCTTTCCTTTCGTCTTCATCCTCCATCTGTCCCTGTTTCTCTTTTTCCAGTGTTTTTTCACCCATACATTTAGTATACTGACGAAGTGTAGTCTTCTATGCCCATTTGCTAAGGAACAATACGTAGTGACAAGAACAACATGCGAAGAACGATGGGACGCAGTTCTATGCAGTCCGACATTAAAGGGGCAATTATGGCCAGTCCAAAGGGCCCACGAAATGGCTGGAAGGCTAGGCCTTTCGGTCGTAGTGTGGGAGCAGAGTGCTTTGGGAGCGGACACTTGCGTGACCTAGCGGACTTAAATAACACTCTTTCATCCATTCATCCAAAGGCTTTGTGCAACGACACTTCATGGTTTTGCGCTAAGGCCAGCGGCACAGACCATCAGCCATCCAGTTGCGATCTATACTCGGCGACAACTTTCTGTGGCCGTACAGCCAAAGCTACGTGGGCGGAGCTTCTGCACATGTGTTACTACGCCAAGTAATCCGTTTTCATGCAATTTCGGTTTCGGTTTCGCTAGCGAATCCGACGTGTACTTTTTCGCCCGACCACCATGCAATAAATCTCACATTTATTTGGGCGAACATAAATAAAATGTTCCTTTTTAAAGGAAAAAAACAGGAAGCTTGTTTGAGCATTGCGATTTATTTAAGAAAAAAAGAAAGGTACGAACGAGCAGGTACTGGGCGATTGGAGCAACGCAAAGCCAAGAAATTATTTCTTAAATTGCAGTGCATACTTGGTCGGCATCATTGTGTACCTTCTTTTTAGAGACGCAAGAACGTTCTGGTTATTTTATTATTACGTTATTTTTTCTGGTTATCTTATTATAACGTTATTTTTAAGGCATGCGAAGGCAGCGACGAGAAGCAGAAATCTTGACACCGATCGGTCAAAAGCGGGTGTCTGAAATTCGTAAATTGAAGTTGGTGGAACGCAATCTTTACTCGGTCAAGAACGCTGTTTTCTTTTTCACAGTCAACAGGGAAGTATACATGAACGAGTCTGTTACCCAGGCAAGGCGCAAGGAACGACTATCTCCGTAAACACCGACGGAAGTCGTGTTACGGTGCGCGATCTTCAGCGTTATCGTATCAACAATACTAACCAGCTGAAACACTGACCACGCATAACGTAATTCAGAAAAAAAAAGGTTCATTGGTTTTACGTACAGTTTCCGATCGCTCTCTTTCTTCCAAGCAGCTGGTGTTGCTGAAGACTGGCAGGTCTCCGGTGTCACTTTCAGGGCGGCTATGGCGATTAGATCTTACTTCCACTGATGAGGGTCCTGTTGCAGTCTTCTACTTTGGGACCCTCGTCTGTATATTTTTACTCCCTGTAACATCCTTTTATGACATGGTGATAAACTAATTGATTGAGTAATTGATTGAATTGATTGATGATATCTCTTGCACACAAATACTCGGTGATTGCATGCGTAGGAAACAAAATATTTCACGACACGCCACTGTCTTCGTTTCTACTTGCTCGATGAATGCGCATCACCCGACGAACACGCTTACAAGCTTCGATGTGAACTTGCTGGAACCGAGCGACGGCATCATCGTTTACCGGGACAGGAAAACGGTGATATGGCAACAGAAAACCAGGAAACTAGAAACAGCAAAGAACGAAAAACCTACACGGGTGATGCTGCTTAATAATAATGCGAACCATCTTGAACATGATATTTACATCTTTTCTTTTTATATTTTCTAGCATGCTACGCAGCACACCAAAGTAAGGGTTCATGGACTACATGCAGAAGCGTCGCAAGCAAGGGCGTGCTTGGGCTTCGTAGCCTTGGCTTTGCTGCCACCGAAAGTTGTCACCGAGTATAAAATGCTCGAAATCGGATTGCCGCTCATCGGAGCAGCAGGAGTGGCCTCTGGCGATGAGTTCACGTCTCACTTAGCTAAGTAAATTTCTATACACTGTAGCTAAGCGTCCGTACTCGGGCTTTTCGAAATGGCGCTCGAAAGTTTCTTCTCAAGTGGTAGGCGCCCTCCTGTGCGAGACGTTTTGTTAAACTCATTGCGTTGTTTGTTCGCGTCTCTCTGAATTTTTCTGCCGGCAGTACAGCTCATAGGTCTGTCTTTCACTTCTTTTGCTTCAGTTTCGTTTCATAGAAGGGCCGCTACTCCAAATTGAACGCATTTTTACATTCTTTCATGTCGTAGCCCACAGTAGTTTAGGAAGAAAACTAAAGAACTTTTGATGAATGGGCAAAGTCATATTTGCTTTACATTCTAATACTCATGGGTGTGAGTGAATCGGAGTACGCTCAGTAATGTGACAATGCCACTGATGTAGGAGGTGGCGTTTTAAAAAGCCATCAGTCTATTTTGCTCCAAACCTGCTCTGCAGTTATTTGGTGTAAAAAGGCGAGCGAAACAAATTCACTTCGTCAGTGATTCAGAGAGAGACGAATAATGAGGCGACTGCAAACATCGCTAGAGTAATTCTTTGGACTTGTTCGGCTCAGTGCACCGACTTCCTATCTTACTGTTCACGCTTCGTTTCAATCACTAGATTCATTTTGCGGTAAATGACCGTCAATTTCTTGCTTACTATGCCGCCATTCATCAGTTACTCTCGCGTGTTTTTTATTTTGTTATAGGGTCATCGCACCGCGTTCGGTGTGCTTAATACCTGGTTTATTTTTCTTTGGTTTCTTTTTTTTTTGTCAATTGAAAGGCAGACGCGAAAAATGGAACGGCGGCGTTTGGCGGCGCCAACACGAGTGATGCTAAATGTTACCACGTGTTCCCGACGTCGACTAAGGGGAGCATACTGGACGTTCAGATGAAACTGTTCATTTCGGCTGAACTTATGGCCAGTTAACATAAAATGAGACACAGCAACACATTGAGCGGTCGATCAACTGACAAGCGGTGACGAGCGTCGGCATTTATACATGTGTCGTCGAACATTCCAGCGTTATCACTGGAAGTCACTCAGGCTCTGGAATAGTCTTGAATGTTCGCGTCCTGTGAGCAATCTGAACGAAATGATCTACTGCAAATGTGAAGCTTCCACAAAACTGAGGTGTGATCTGCGCTGAGTATTGCTCACAGTCTTCGTAGGTTTAAACCGACCACATCAAAATAACGCGCGTGGCAATATCATGATCACGTGATGACGGCGTCCTACGAAACCATCGTGACGTGATCGAGGTGTCTCTATGACTTCATACCACATGACTTCACCGGGTTCTGGTAGTTTAGTTGTTGTGATAAAAGTTGTTATCACTGTTAAAAGGTAACTTGACAATGCATGTAACTGCGTGTCCCCAGCTTTATCGCATCTGTGACGGCTGCGGTAAAATTAATATGTTGGGCGTCTGTAAAGGCTTTGAGAGATGAACGGCTTGTGGCTTCGTTTGCGCGATGTTCTCGCGCGCTTTCATTTTATATATCCGGTAATGTAATGCTTTTGGGGTGCGCATTAAAGCAAAAGGTAGCGAGAAGCGTTGCCTAATCGCTACCTGCGTTGTTGGCCACGCTAGTGCTGTAGCACTCAGTTCGATACATGGCTTGGTTCGTTTCCGCGATTAAACGACGGCATAACGAAGCAACGGTACGTTCACGGCAACAAAAACGAAGTCGCGACAATAGCGTTGCAGGCTGTCTTGTAACATCATTTTAACGCTTGCGTTGAGGCGTTTTCTTGTTTCACGCGATTCCATTTTTCGTACTAAGCGATAAGGGCTCTGTATTGGCAAGTGCGCACTTGGCTGCTTTGGCGTTTTTCGTGCTTTCTTTCAATGAATGTTAGTTGCGAGTAGGTGTTTGTGATGTCCAAATTTTGCTGCTTGTGCTCCGCGTTATCTTCATTTTATCAAGGGGACAGCGACTGAGATCCTTACATTCCTTTATGAGGCCGAGCATTGCACCGCGCTTAATAAGTTAACAAGCGAATGTTTACTGAAGTGTACATGGACCGTAACAACGGTAGATTTTGATTAGCGCCATTAATAATTAGTGACGTAAACAGAGCATCAGACACACAGGGACGGGAAACCGACAAGGACCAGCGCTAGTTCTCGTCGATTCCCTGTCACCGTGTGTCTCACGCGATGTTGATGTCGCCATGGAATGCCAACTTGCCCGGTCACGCAGATTGCTTCAATTATTTATTATATTGATTTACTCCACTATTTTCCTGCGACTGTCTGAGTACGCAGCGACGCATTGTACTTACAGTAGTACATGAGTGGATTCTCCAGTTCTGGACAGGGAAAGCCGATGTTGCGAAAGTACTCCAGCATTGTCCGTGTGTAACCTGCGAAGAGAATGAAAAAAAACTATAACACAAAGGTTACACCCCGAGTGTATTGGTGTATAAAATTATGGACCATCTCCATGAAGGGAACCCTGTTGGAAAGCGAAGCAGCAGCGGTGCGCACGGCGTTGACCCGGTTGAAACGGGCGTCGACGCCGGTGCTAAATGAGCAGTTCGAAGTGAAACTTTGTGTAGTGTTTGCTCGAGTTAACGTTGGTTTGGAACGCAAAAACACGGGAGGCGAGTCTGATTTATTGTAAGTTTCATCGCAGATAAACGAGCCGAACGTGTGTTACGGGTGGTGGAGAGGGTTGCGGGTGGTGGAGAGGGTGAAGAGGGAGAGAAAGGTGTTGCGAGTGAGCAGAGAAGCTGGCATTAGCCGGCGCTGCGGTGAGTGTGCTGCGGTTGAGATAGAGGCCTCAGCGCGCACCATCGAGGGAAACGTGCCAGGGGAGCGTGACGTCAATGCGCAGCTGTGGTGTGACCTACTTGGCACCGCTCCAGCACCTGCGGTGAAGGGAACGTGTCGTGGCGCGTTCGTACGTACGCACGTACGTACAGCATTACACACATCATTCAAAAAGCTGCTTCGCATCTAAAACTTTGAATAAATGGTGGAACGAGGCCCTGACTCAGAGGACCCAGCTCCCCGTGGTAGGTTCAAGCGCCTCTGTCTGATATACAAGCCCTATTACCCCTTCGTATCTAACACTATTCTCAGAAAGTGTTTATGATAACGATTATCTAACTTTTCACGTGCATCTTCATAGACTATGTAGCTGAAATTTGTGTTACGTTGTATAGTGTCGACGCTTAATGTAATAACCAAAGAAAGAGACCCGGACCCGATCGTCTGGCTACGTCGAAGGTCAAAGTATCAACTGAGCGAGCCAGCGCCACTGGCTCGTGCTCCTGGCCGCCGTCCCTTCTTCTTCCTTTGTTTTAAACACACTCCTGCGGCCGCTCGCGGTTATGTTCGCGGTTATGTTCGGGTGCACAGCGGCAGAAGTTCAGGCGGACTTTGGCGAGCATGAAGCAGTAAAAGGGGAAAGAAGCCTCCTGCAGCACATCGCGAAGTACGGAGGCGCAGGTACGCTTGGGTCTTTGTGGTGAGATGTTGTTGCGGCCACGAATCAGTTCAGTTACGCGAGCCGTCTTCAACATTGCTGGCGGTGAGCCGTGGTGCTTCAGAACAACGTCGCCGCGACCTGAAGTCACGGTGGTGCCTTCAGTGGCGCTTTGTGGGCCGAACGCAGAAGCAACAAGCAATCCTTTCGCCAACGTTTCCAGGGATGATCCGTCAGCGCTTGTCGATGTCACGCTTTAAGTGAATCTACGAGAAGATGTAACATGGTGGTGAAAAAGGGCCTTGTCAATGACGACGAAGCTAAGCGAGGTGGTGGTTTGTTTTGCGGAGGAAGTCGTCTAATCTCGCTTTGATGTTCAGAATACTTCGTGATCACGTTTTTAGCCACTTTCGGGTCGTAATGAGGGCTTTCAATCCTGCATCGCTTTTAGTAGGAGGAGTCTGATCTTGGCTTGCTTTTGTAGATTCACAAGGCTTCCTGATAATTTGAATGCTCATTGGGAGTGATATTCGTCCTCTGCTCTTGGTGTCGCATCTGAAGCTTGTCTTCTGTAGTTGCTGCGCGGCCATTTGCTGCTTGATCACTTCGAGCGTCAGGTAGTCCTGAGCGTGTACCTGGCTCGCAGGTGCATCTGAGCTGGATGAATACTTCGGGATTGAAAACGATTGTTTTTTGCTCGGAACGAATAACGCCGAAGCATCGTAGTTCCGTCGGACAGCGACCTCGCCAAGGATGGGAATCTCGGCCGCTTTCGAGGGAAGCAGTGGTTCGTCTACGTGCGCGGTTGCTGGTAGCACATTGTCGTCCGTTACAGCATCGCGGAAGACCGCGTGCAATGAGCTTACGTTTACGAGTGCAGGATTCTCAGCCATGGTGGAGTATTTGGTGGCATCATTGCTGGAGTCTCCCGATTTCTTGTCGATCCCAGTACATCCCGCTTCGCGAGAGTCCTTGTTTGCGCCGCATCCCTGCATGATGCGCATGGTGTAGTGCTGGAGCTCTGTGGTGTGGCGCTCGTACGCCCAGCGCAGGTCTCTGGCGTCAGGCGCTATCTCCTTGTGGCATTCGGCGGCGTCGTAGACGGTCATGGGGTCCGTCTACCTGGGGGAGTGCGGCTCGTAGCAGCGCTGCTGCTCGCACTCCCGATCTTCAACTTGCTTGGGCTTGAGTGGAGACCCGACTGGAGACCCGACCGCCAGGATCAGGTCTAAGGCGCATGTAGGACGAGAAGTGGAGTTCCACGTATAGTCTGTGGGGCAAGTCCTGGAGGTTCATTGTGCGGTGCGACGGAAAGTACATGTGTTCGGCCTCTTGATCTGGGAAGTAGGACTGCCTTGATGACCTGCAGCTTGAACCGCGGGAAACCGGGTCCTTGTAGTCAATGCGCATGTTGCACCCGGGGTTTTCTATGGCCATCAAACTCTACATGGCGTACCTTGTGGACGAGTCTATAACGAAGGGCCTTGCATGGTGTGGAAAGCGGCAGGTCTTTCGGCATGTGTTCAAAACTCGTTAGAGTTGCGGTTGGCATTGAAGTCGGCAGGTCACTGCAAAGCGAAGTCGTCACTTACTTCGACGTCGATGAGGAAGGAATTCTGAGGGCGGTCGAAAGCGAAGTCGTGGCCTGCGGTGACGTCGAGGTGAAAGGAGTTGTGGGGCCGGTCCCAAGCGAAGTCGATGCCTGCTGTGATGTCGAAGCGAGAGGGGTCGAGAATCCTGTCGAAAGCGAAGTTGCGGCCCGAAAAGGGGTGCTGCTGGACCCTGGTACGTGATCTTGTCGTACTGAGCTTTTGTTGGCACGCTGGGAGTGTTTCGTTCCATTGTCAATGTCACACAGAGAAGTTAAATGTCGTCCCGTGCATCGGCGGCATTGTGGGGTTCTGACGGTGCGGCAATCATTGTCGAAATGGTTGCGTTTGCCGCAGCGAAAGCATAGCTTCTCTTCATGAATCCTCTTCCGCATCTATTCCAGAGGAAGACGTTCGGAGCAAGACTGAACAGTGTGTTCGTGAGAGGTGCACAGGACGCAGGGGTGCGAGTACGGAGATCGAAGTTCAGCGGATAAATCCGCAGTGGAGGGCAAGGGTGGCTGACGGATCGGCTAGTCTCTTTTCGGAGGCCTCCGGCTTGTAGATGATATCGGTTCCTGGCGACCGCTTTCCTCCCGTATCTATACTTGTACTTTGATGAAGCCCAGGAGGTCTTTCACTTGTGACTGGGCTTCCTGGGATGCTGTGGCGTTCTCAGTTAGCACGGCTTCCTTTTGCCGTTGGTGATAGAGGATACTGAGGTCCGAAGGTAACACCTTTAAGAGAACACGCCGCAGCACCGTGGCATACTCACCTAGAGATACTACGAGACCTTCCAGGGCATTGATGCGGAATGTGGCTTCATCACGGAGATTTCTTAACAGAGTCCCGTCTGCGGAACTTCGTACTGGTGCAACTGACAGCAACTTGTCGAGATGGACATCGACTAGCACGTCGCAACGACCGAAGCGGTCCGACAGGATCTGAATGGTGACGTCATAATTCGCTTCGGCCAGGCGAATACCTTGAATGGCTGCCTTCATTGCCCCAATCAGGTATGTCAATAAGTATTGGAACTTGTCAATTTTCGGGTCCAGTCGTTGTTGTGGGTACTGGCTTGAAACTGGTGCCAAAATTTTTGCCAGTCGCGTCGTTCGCCTGAGAAACTCTGGATGTGCAGCTCGGGCAGCGCGATGCGAGAATGCGTCGTTGGAGTCGGAAGGCCGGGCAAAGGCAAGGTCGCGGCCGGCTGCGACGTGCATGCGTAAGAGTCACTGCGTGGAGTAGTGACGGCGACGGATGCGAATGGGGTTCGCGGCTGTGGCTCGGTTGCGCGTCGAACCCTTCCTTTAGCGCAGATGACCTGATCTTCGTATTCGCTGGCGGTAATCAAGTCTGCCTCGAGGTCCCAACCTTGTAGCGCATCTTGAATCTCCTTGTCGAAGGTCATAAGGTGGGCGTGTTTCGCCACAATGATGTCGATGAGCTCCTGGATCCTGTGAGCAGGGGTCGTCGAGTCTGCCAGTAGGGTGCCGAGAGTCAATATTGCCTTGGTGATGGCTGTCTGGTGGAAACTATGCTGTACTCGGAGTTGGTCCATTGTCGAAAGTCGAGATCCAGACGACCGGGTGGGTTTCGGCACCAGAACAAAAGTGTGAGAAACGAAGAAAGAGACCCGGACCCGATCGTCTGGCTACATTGAAGGTCAAAGGAACAACTGAGCGAGCCAGCGCTCCTGGCTTGTGCTCTGGCCCACCGCCCTTTCTTCCTCCTTTATTTGCAACGCTTAATTAAACAATTTCACCCGTAGAGCAGCTAAAGCGTGGAAGAGCCCGGCCTTCTATCCCTACAATGCGGTGTAGAAATTTAGCGACATATTACAAAGAAACGGGGGTTCACTACCATCGCTTTTCGAAGTGTGTGAGATTTTCAGGCAGTGACAGTACGCGAGCAAATAAATCGCGATCGTCGTCGATAACTTGTCAAGCCTCTACTCAGACCGTTCGCTGCATCGCGCCAAATACGCCAAAGGCACGATTAGCTGCTGGGCGTCTTTGTAGGGGAACACTCTTGCAAGTACAGTGGAGGGCAATAGTAAGGATACGGCGCTTACTTTATCGTCCGACATAGGCCTCCAATTTCTGCGCACCCATTGCGGCACGGTCTCAACGAGACGCGCGCAGTACAGGGGCTCCTATAGAGTCGGCTTATTCCTTCCATTTTTTTTACATCTTCGTAGCGCGCAGACACCTGAATGTGAGCTCGGATTGCACACCACAAGGAAAGCGGATACAATTAGCAGCGCATGTGTCCCAAAGATAACGAGCTATAGCCACACTGCAGCGTCTGTGACGCTTTATTGTCTGTATTTTGTGCTCTCCGTTTTCTATACGATGTGTTACTTTGGAAGTATACCTACACAGTCCGACTTAGCGTTGTAGCTTTCCTGTCAACGCATACCTTACCAATCCGCCCTACCCAAAGTTTGGCATAAGCTCAATTTCACAGAAAAAGCTCCCCAAAACTTCAGAGGTGGCGCTGCGACGAACCTGCGCCACCTGTGCAGGGGACTCTGCGCACGCGTATATTGACAAGGCTGTGGGAATTTTCCGAGATGCGTAGTAAGCAAGTAGCACATCTCTATGGATTAGGCAGTTCGATAAGGAATTGGTGTGAGTGTTCTCTTTTTGGGCAAAAGCACGAGCAAGCCACGTCATTGCTCTCGCTCTCTTTCTGTAACTCACCGGTGTACACCATCTCGCCAAGACAGAGGTAGGCGGCGCGGTCCAGGAATGGGAAGATGTCCGAGCGCGGCTTCGACATTGTGAGAAGTACGAGCCGGTTGTACTTCTTGGCGTGGTTGGCCAGGATTGAGACGACGAAGTACGTGTTGAGCGGGTCCAGCTCAGCTGTCGGCTCGTCTAGCACCACGAGAACTGTGAGGTCAGGGAAGGAGTGTTAGGCAATAGGGGGCTCTTTACCATCGCTACAATCCAAAATGCAAGAGCTTAGAAATATATCTTTCAGAGAAAAAATGTTTACAAATACAAGACGCGGACGAGAAAAAAAACACAACGGCAGGACACGTAGCGCACGTGTTCAATCCCTCCTATTATTGTCCTTGTGTTTCTTACGCAACATGAAATGTCTTTAAAACATGTGTTACAAGCAAGTCCGAAATTCCACCAACGGGAGATATTGCTATGTTATTGGTGAAACACATATCGAAACACCGCTTGGTAGACTTGAGTGACCTCGAGTTCAGAATCAGCACTCCCTTTCGATGCCTCCGCACTGGAGTTTAGTTAGATTTGAAATTTTGGATATTGCTCAAGCAACAAAGCGCATACGATCTTATTAGAACTCCAAGTGTCTTTGAGAGTAAATTCTGTGAGCAACATTGTGACTCGTTCTGATGAGGTTATTCATTCAGTTGTGTTATGGGACTGCACAACTAGGCAGCATCATTTGCAGCATGACTAAGAAATCTTAGCGCCACAGAACGGAAACAAAAGAAAGAAACGTAGACAACACGAGCGCTAACTTCAAACCAAGTTTATTAGGAAACACACATGAATATATACGAACTCAAATCACAGAAATCTCACGCCTACTTTTTTACACATATATTGTTATACAACGTCATACAAAAACAAAAAATGTAATATCAGGAAATAAACAGGTAAACGCGCATGTGTAAATGGAACCAAGAAAACTTAGAAAAAAGCTTAACAGCCCCCCGAAAAACCCTACAAACGAAAAATGTGACACCAACTGCGCATGCTTACCTCGGTGAAACTATGAAAACGTGCTCATTAGGAAAGAAAATTCTTTATCGTGAAGGAGTACAGACGGATGACTCACGCACTTCTCTCCGCGTTTTCGGATGAAGCAGGCCTCAACTAATTCTCGGGTTAACTGCTCTCTGTGACGGAATAGCACAGTTGTTTGATCGAACATTGGAGTACAGCCACACTGACGGCAATGTAATGCCAAGTGGGATGTCGGTGTGCCTTTCAAAGAGCTGTGGTGCTCGCGTAGACGGATATTGAGACACCGCCCAGATTGGCCCACGTAAACGTGTCCGCACGAAAAGGGCGTCTCGTATACCACCCCTTTTACACAAGACACGAAACGAATGCCATGTCTCATTGTGCACTTGCCTTTTTTACCACTTTTTTTATTTTCACGGTGCTGCAGTCTTGGGCAAATATCCTTCAGTTTACTTTTGGCTGAAAACACCACGTTGACGCCAAAGCGTGCCGCCACTCTCTTAAACCGGTGGGACACTCCGTGAATATAAGGGATTACCGAGAAAGGTCTGCTCCCTTTGCATCTTTCCGTCGCCGCCAGCTTACCACCTGCTCTTATGGTTTTAAGCAACCTTTCACTAACAGCGGCTATAACAGCATCAGGGTACCCTGCCTGCCGCAACTTAACTGCTTGTTCACACATGCTTTGTCGAATCAGGTGCGGGCATGACTTTGAGATGGCAGACCGGATACAGGAGCTGGCTATTCCATTCTTTACAAGTCTGGAGTGACCAGACTGGTAGTCAAGCAAGCCCTTTTGAGACCTTGGTTTATATCGCCAGCATAAACCATCAGGGCTAAATGCTAACTGGAGGTCTAAATACTGCAATGCATCGTTCCGGGGTACCTCACATGTGAACGTCAAACCGTGCCCTTGCTCCCTGAACACCTTCATTACATCAATCATTTTTCTGATAAAAACACACCTGTCCACGAAAACCAAGTAATCATCAACATAACGAAACACTTTGATTGCCAGATCAACAAGACTACCCTGTATAGCCCTGTCCACCTTTGCCAAAAATATTGTGCTCAGAATAGGCGCGACACACGAACCGATACATACGCCAGATTTCTGCGCAAATACTTTCCCATTCCAAGTGACGAGTGTCGCTTCCAGGTAACACCTCAGTACCTCGAGGAACCCCTCAACTGACACACCTGAACGAGAGGTGAACTCAAATTCGTCCTCTTGATTCCCAATACACTCCTTTACACTCTGCAGAAGAGGGGCTTGCGGTAAGGAGTAGTAAAGATCCTCGATGTCGAGGCTAAATGCCATTAAGCCTCCCGAGTCGTTGTTCCTAAGAAAATCTACGAGTATATCCGAACTCGTATATGTTGTATGTAGTATATCCGAACTCGTTTCGTTATGTTGATGATTACTTGGTTTTCGTGGACAGGTGTGTTTTTATCAGAAAAATGATTGATGTAATGAAGGTGTTCAGGGAGCAAGGGCACGGTTTGACGTTCACATGTGAGGTACCCCGGAACGATGCATTGCAGTATTTAGACCTCCAGTTAGCATTTAGCCCTGATGGTTTATGCTGGCGATATAAACCAAGGTCTCAAAAGGGCTTGCTTGACTACCAGTCTGGTCACTCCAGACTTGTAAAGAATGGAATAGCCAGCTCCTGTATCCGGTCTGCCATCTCAAAGTCATGCCCGCACCTGATTCGACAAAGCATGTGTGAACAAGCAGTTAAGTTGCGGCAGGCAGGGTACCCTGATGCTGTTATAGCCGCTGTTAGTGAAAGGTTGCTTAAAACCATAAGAGCAGGTGGTAAGCTGGCGGCGACGGAAAGATGCAAAGGGAGCAGACCTTTCTCGGTAATCCCTTATATTCACGGAGTGTCCCACCGGTTTAAGAGAGTGGCGGCACGCTTTGGCGTCAACGTGGTGTTTTCAGCCAAAAGTAAACTGAAGGATATTTGCCCAAGACTGCAGCACCGTGAAAATAAAAAAAGTGGTAAAAAAGGCAAGTGCACAATGAGACATGGCATTCGTTTCGTGTCTTGTGTAAAAGGGGTGGTATACGAGACGCCCTTTTCGTGCGGACACGTTTACGTGGGCCAATCTGGGCGGTGTCTCAATATCCGTCTACGCGAGCACCACAGCTCTTTGAAAGGCACACCGACATCCCACTTGGCATTACATTGCCGTCAGTGTGGCTGTACTCCAATGTTCGATCAAACAACTGTGCTATTCCGTCACAGAGAGCAGTTAACCCGAGAATTAGTTGAGGCCTGCTTCATCCGAAAACGCGGAGAGAAGTGCGTGAGTCATCCGTCTGTACTCCTTCACGATAAAGAATTTTCTTTCCTAATGAGCACGTTTTCATAGTTTCACCGAGGTAAGCATGCGCAGTTGGTGTCACATTTTTCGTTTGTAGGGTTTTTCGGGGGGCTGTTAAGCTTTTTTCTAAGTTTTCTTGGTTCCATTTACACATGCGCGTTTACCTGTTTATTTCCTGATATTACATTTTTTGTTTTTGTATGACGTTGTATAACAATATATGTGTAAAAAAGTAGGCGTGAGATTTCTGTGATTTGAGTTCGTATATATTCATGTGTGTTTCCTAATAAACTTGGTTTGAAGTTAGCGCTCGTGTTGTCTACGTTTCTTTCTTTTGTTTCCGTTCTGTGGCGCTAAGATTTCTTAGTCATGCATCGTTACCAACCTGCCCAACTCGCCGCACTCATCATCATTTGCAGCTTCCATAAAGCCGCTTGTAACGTACGAATTGAAGCATTAAATCTAATTTGACATACCAGTGGCGAGAAATCAACGAACATGGATTGTCACTGGAAGCAATATAAAAATTTCAAGAAGCTACACTACACTGGGCTACATTACAACCAGGCCCGAAGCCAGGAATGTTTTAGGGGGTCCCACGGGTTGAAGGCCCTGAAGAACTTCTATTTTCATTATTTATTCTCTGTAAAACACACCTTTCAATCAAACTTCAGGGTGGCTGTTAGGCTTGTTTGTTCCCGATCCCAAATGTTGAGAGAGAGGGAGAGAAAGAAGCTAAGAAATGCAGGGAGGTGGACCAAGTTGTGCCCGGTTTGCTACCTAACATGGGGGTGTGGGAAAGTGGAGGAAAAGAAGAGAGAAGAGAAGAAGGAAAGAGAGAACAAGTGATACGCGCACATTTAGACAGCCACCATTGGGACGTGTCTGAGACCGATTCATCTGCAGTTGTCTAAAAGTATACTTGAATCCAAGATCTTCGCAAAAGGCTTGCAAGAACTCTATCCAAGCAATCGAAAACTTGCCGTGCACATTGAGCTGGTGGAGTTGACATTCCATTGAGCAGAGTGCCCAGCGTGGTCATGATAGACCTCAACTGAGCGACGACTTGTCAGTTTTCGTCGTGGAAATTATCTGTCGCCTTTGATATACACTGTGAGGCCTTCTGCGCCGGCTCTTTATGAGTACGCGGTGGTGGTAGTGAGGGTCACGTGACAGGGACCTAAAGAAGAGACGATGACACGCACAGTGCTCTGTGTGTCATCGTCTCTTCTTTAAGTCTCTGTCTTGTTTGCACAATTCAGCACTTAGGAACTTCGTTGGAACAGGGGAGGGAGGAGAAGTTTCTAGGCCACCCCTCTGGCTACGGGCCTGCATGATGATGATGATCAAAACTTTATTACTCCCAAGAAGAGGGGACCGGCCAAGAGGTCAGTTACGTTGCTTAAAGGAGATCAGCTGGGATCTGTTGGGACACCGCCGCCTCCAATGCGCGTGAGATTACCCGGCGTTGCCGTTCTGAGTCGATGGTACGCAGAAGGTACTCCCACGTATCATCTGTGTGAGAAGCATCAGCGTACTGTGGGCACGTCCATGTCATGTGTATGAGGATGGCTGATTGTGAGCAGTATTTACAGTTTGGTATCACGAGGTGTCGGTATACCTTGCTATAAAGCCAGGGGTTGGGAAAGGTTGGGTTGGGTCTGAAGCTTGATCCACAGGACGGCATCGCGTCGAGGGAGGTTTTTGTGAGGTGAAGGATAGCGGAGACGGCCTAGTCTGTAGTGCTGTAGAATGTCTGTGTAAGTGACCAAAGGAGTTAGTTTTTCACAGGCCTGGAAGGGCGAAGAATGAGAAGTGTAAGGCATAAGGAACTCCGCCCGGCAGTTGAGATCTCGGGCGAGATAGTGTGCTTGCGCATTTTTACTAAGAGAGTCATGGGCTGGGGCCCAGATAAGAAAACGAGGTGAGGCAGGTGGGGTGTGATGCTTCATCATTGAGTATGCCTGTGGAGAGATACGGTCCGCGTCAAAATTTCAGGTGGCGAGTTGTAAATCACTGACGGTCACCTTGGTTATTGGGTCGGTCACTGCCAAAGCAATGGAAACCTCTTCGGCAACTGTTATATCAGAGGAGTGAATTACACTACATGCCGTGCTCCACACACGGTGTGGGGCCACGGCGACAGCCACCATTGTTGATCGATGTGGCTGTCACGTGGCGTCTGTGTACGTGACATCGGAACAATTTGAGAGACGTTTCTGTAGTTGGCGCGCACGGTCAGCCCTACGATTAGCATGATGTTCAGGGTAACGACTCAGCCTACGGGCCTGACTACAATGATGATACAAAAAGAATACTCGTCAAGACAGGAAGAAGTAGTTGTTCTGTCGAATCGGGGTCCTTGTTCGACGAATTCTCATTGCTAATGTAGCAGTCCGGCTATGAAACAGAATTGTGGCGTTGTCTATCATACTTACCAGGGTCCCTGACGAGCTCGACGGCGATACTGAGGCGGCGGTATTCGTTGATGGACAGGCTGCTGACCTCCTTGTTTGCCACCTGGTTCAGCGCCAGGTCCGCCATCACCTGCTTAACCTGCGTCGCAACGAGGACGTCCTTGTCTCAGTCACACTGTTTGATCCTCAGTTCTCAACACTACTAAACTAGCCCGATCAAGTCATTACTACATTTATATAATTTCCAGTAAATCACTCGCGGGAACTCTGGCGCTGATGTCTACGGGAAATGCAACGCACGCCTCTTTAGCGAGCATGGGAAGGACGGGTAGGACACAAATTCGTCTAATATTCGTTGTTTCGGCTCCGTTTGGCTTCGCATGGCTTGGAGCCGCTTTGTCACGAGACCGAAATTTGCAACTGTTGGGCAGTCGCACTTCACCACCTTAACCTTTTAGGCTCACCATTTTCAATCGGTTCTTAAGTTCAAAAAGGTTCGTCCTTTCTTTTGAAACAAAAGCGAAACACGGCAATAAACAAAGCTACAAGTGCGTTGGAAGCAGTCAATCACGAAAACTGGGCAAACTTGTGCTCCTACCCATCGTTCCCACGGTGCGTGAACGATCGCAGCGCCAGAGTCTCCTTCAGTCGTTTTTGGGGAGACTCTTTGACTACAGCGACATCACTCTGTCAGTCACATACCCTTCCTCTCTTGACGGATCCGGACACCTTGGATGCGACTGTGAGCTTTGCGGCGAAGTGCAGCGTCTGTCTCACGGTGACGCCTGGCACCAGCGAGCACCGTCGGGGTACGTAGCCGCACTGTTCCTGGAATAGGCGCAGCGTAAGTGGCACGTCGTTCAGCAGGATCTGGCCCCGTGTCGGACCCATGGCCCGCCGGGCCACGACCTCGAGCAGGGCCTTCTTGCCGCTGCCTGCGATTGGAGAGGAGAGAGCATTAAGCGTCAAGAAAATTGCAGCCCATTTCATGTAGTGTAGACCACTCAACAGCGAAGCTGTCAGCATATTAATGTTGGTAATGTGTCATAATCATGATACCGTCACGTGGTTTTATTTGTACTTCTATTCCTCCCCCCGTTGGTCATGTGACACGCGTAACTACTGCTACTACTACAACTACTATTTCCGTAATACTAGATTTATAATAATTCTACGACGACGACGACAACGATGACACAGAGCAGCCTAAGACAAAGTGGCTGCAAAATTTTGAGTGACCATTAGTAATACGAAAGCTTTAGGTAGCTCGTTGCGCTGCGACCTGGTACAGTACGCTGGAGGCACGCAGAGTGGTTCAAAAGCCCGCGTAGCCTGCTCGGAGCGCGCAGCGTGCGGAGAGGAAGCGCTTAATTTGACATCATCCTGTGAGGTCATAATGATGTCACAGATCGCTTACATTTGCGACTACAATGGGACACGACGTATACTCATGACGTCATCACGTAAAATCTTCTGTTGGGGGGGGGGGGTGTCAAAGGCAGCCGGAACTCGGAGGCATACTGCAACACCGCGCAACGTTCATGGAAAGCGGGGCAATAATAATAATAATAATAATAATAATAATAATAATAATAATAATAATAATAATAATAATAATAATAATAATAATAATTATATCGGTGGTTTAACGTTTAAAAACCAAAATATGATGATGACAGACGCCGTAGTGAAGGGCTCCGGAAATTTCGACCACCTGGTGCTGTTTAACGTGCAAGGGCATCGCACAATACACGGGCCTCTATCACTTCGCCTCCAACGAAATGTCACCGCCACAGCCGGGATCATACACGCGACCTACGGGTCAGCAGCCGCGCACCCTGACCGTGGCGCCACTGGAGGGGGAGGGGTTGTCATGAAGACTTCACAGCACGCCTAATTTGCTTGATGCGTGCGTCTTACACTGCGGCCCGCTATGTTTCGAAACAAATGTGGTCCCCGGCTGTAGAAGTTAAAAGGGCCCTGCAACACTTTTTGAGCATGATCAGAAAACGGTGCCCGACAAAAGGCTCCCGACAACACGCGAGCCAAGTACTACAGCGAAGAACGCGGCCTGTAATTCACAATGAATTATCAAAGTCAGCTAAAAATTGCTTTCTTTCCTCTCGCTAAATGACGGAATAAGCCCGAAAATCGCTCGTCATAAGCCCCACCTTCCGCCATTGGCTACTTTGAACATGGCGCGCGCGGTCGTTACAGAGATCGCTGCGGGAGGCCATCACCTGTTCACGCGTGCACGCTCGATCGCACTGAAAAAGCCACGTATTCAAAGAAAGAAAAGAAAAAAAAGTGCTCAAGGTCACGAAATGCGAGTAACGTTTTTTGTTTGCCCCTCCCATTTCTCCCTGCTTAGTTTCAAGCGCTTTCGTCCGGACGAGAGAAGAGAGAATGCGATCGCTGGGTGTCACAAATGTTCGTAACTCCGCTCGTACTGGACGGATTCTTAAAATTTTTGCGGCGCTGAATTTGTGAAGTAAATACGCTTTTCAAGTGAATTAATTTCATGGTTACTCAAAAAAGTGTTTCAGGGCCGTAATGTGTAGCAGTTTTTCACTTTCAAGTGTCACGCAGAGGGTAAAGTGCCGACGAATTTTTTCGCCGGCAAGAGCGGTATAAGTGCGTTATTATTACGGTTAATTAGTTCTAGTTACCATCAATTGCCTTTACATCCAACACAAGCCACTATCAGCCAGCTTTATGCAACCATACAAAATGGTACCGAATTGAATCAGTACGCTTAGACTCACTGAAGAAAACATTGCATTTGAAACTGTTTATTATGCACCAGCTACCATAGCGTGTATTTCATATTGAAATGTTCATTTTGATTGACCTTGTAAACATGCGCGGTGACAGGCAGGTACACTTCCGATGAGCTGCAATATAAACCAATCTGTTCGATACGCTGTGGGGAGTTAAAGGTTCGTATTTTAGACAAGGCTTTCACTGGGAGCTCGCAAGAAACGGAGTTTTATTATTTGTTTCTTATTTGGTTTTGTAATAAATACGGCGCACACCCGTCCTGGAGAATCGGCCAGAGCAGTGTCTAAGCACTTAGCTAACAACTTCAATAAGCCGAATGACAGATGAATAAATTCTATATGAATTGGAATATAAGAACAACTGCTGCAAACAAATTGTGCAATCGGCATGCTCACTGGGTGATGATGCCTCCACTATGGCTCTTGCCTACTCAGAGGGATTGGCCAAGAATTGAGGATATGAAATTTAAGGCCTTTCGAATGATACCTAATCCTAACAGAAGATAAAGCACACGTAAACACAGAAAGAGCGCAATATTTTTTTTGCCATTTCGACTAGACAGAATAATATAGATCTTGAATTTAAATTGCAGTAATTTCTAACACGTTTAAAATTGATGTTTGTAATTTGCTTACTAATAACATAATAACAAATATACAAATTGGAATTTAGAGGTGCAGCGGGCGATAAATCTTCCTTTTTCACACTTCTCTTGTCCTTCTTCTTCATGCACGTACACTACGCAACGACACGTGACACAAAACGTACAGTCGTGCCCGATATGAACTGCAATGTGCCACCCTTGGTTAAAGAGACGCCACCACTGCACGGTAATGCTGACTTACAGTATACAGTCAAAGCCGTAAACTGTGCCTCGACTACTGGTGTTTTCAAAAGCAGTTTCACGTTTCCCAGTGTGACACGGTAGACTTGCAAGTCCCATTCACGCAGGGCCACCGTGTTGCAACTTACACAGAGCGGCACAGTACGTACTTGGACCGTACAGGGGCCGTCAAAAGTTTCGAGGCCACTGTCCCATGTATTTACATGGCAGCGTGGCCCGAAAACATTCGACGGCCGCTGTGTACGTACTTGGAACGGACGTACTTCGAGGGGGGAAGGCGACAAATCGCGCGATACGGGGCCTTCAAGGATCATTATGTCCTAAGAGCGAGTCGCCGAGATTAATGCCCTCTGTCGGGTACGCGGCATCGAGAAGGAACGAAGCACATCGGGACCTAGAAGTCATACATCTCTAGCAAAGCGAGAGAGAGAGAGGAGAGACAGAGACGCCAAAGATTGAAATATTGCTGGGCGTGACAGAAGATAGGATTCTCGCCGTCCCTTATAGAAGGTTAGTCGTAGTGAACGGCGCATGGCCGATAGCTCAAACGTGCAGCTGAAAGAGCAGCGGCTGCTGCCGGCTTGCAGGAGAGATGATGTCGTGATGAGTTCGCTCATTAAGCACCGTAATACTCTTCTCCTTTACGTACTAAAGAAAATGAAGGCCACGTCTATTTGCAGCGTCCCCAAATTTATAGGTGCAAAAAAAAGAAACGCAGCAGGAAGAAATGTGTGACAAGCGAGAATAAAAGTATAGATGTATATGACAAAAATGTCGAAGTATACTAGCACTCAGCACCGCGTGCTTTCGAGTGAGAGATTGCAAAATATTGCCTTTCGGACGATAAAAAAAAAAAAGTTCAGTTTTCAAAGCTGTTCAGATTAACGAACAAATATACCTCTATAATAGGCAACTGTTTCTTCTCCACGAAAGCAAAATGCTAAGCAAAAGCACCTCCGCACCTTTTCAAGGCACCGGAGCCGATGACAAGTTCGGTCCCTAAGGACAAACACAGTGGGCGCATGCGTAGTCAGCACTCCAAGTAATCTTTTTTTTTTTTTGTCAAGGACATGGGCACGTTGAAACAATTAGGAAGATTCGACGTCTTCCCTTATTTCGTTCATTTTTTGCGTTCGAGCTGGAAGCAGTGTAGCGCGAAACAAAACAGGGAGTAAGAGAAAAAAAGGCAAAGCATAGCTTCTTAGAGCGCAAACGGCCAGGAGCAAAGTCTTGCGCGCTGCTGAACATCATTGCGATTGCGCCTGCGTCCCTGCTCCACCCACCGTACAATGGAGAACCACCAATTCGGGCAGGAGTACCGAAGGCCTCTTGTCCCCTAGGGCCAATTCACACCGTTCCCCGACCTTTCTATCTCTCTATCTCTGCCTGGGGAGCAAGTGGAAGAACACTCAAAGGGAAATTGACCAGAAATAAAATACGACAAAAAAAGAAGCTTTTGTCCCGCATTAGTGACATTGCTTCGAGGCTGTGAGCGCACGAAACAGGGAATGACGTGGAAGACCCCTCCCTTCTTCCCCTGCTTCTTCCCACATACACAGTTTCGTTGTCGTGATTACTTGTGGCGTACGAATCTTGTATTTCACCGTTCAGGCTATTCTCAGGGATAAAAGAAACACGCCGTAGGGAAAAGCAATTACTGCCTCGGACATCGCTCGGGGGGACAGATTGCTTTTTAGCTTCCCTAGCCTCCCGCGTTAGCCCCGCGTCTTTGTTTATCACATTTTTTCCCCTCCTTTTTCGTTCTTGAGGCTTTGCGAAGCGCAGTGTTCTGGGAATACTATTGTTCCGTCCTGCAACATTTCATTATCGGTCAATGCGCCAAAGCACTCTCGCGTTTTTATTTATGTGTATTTTTTGTCCTTCCAAGTCCCATTTCTTCTTCGCCACAATCGTCCAACGGGCAAGTTGCGAAAACTTGGCTCATTTCGCCAAACCCAAGGTCCTTTTCTTTTTCACCACTTCTTGTTTCAAGCGCAGCGCTATAACGTTGCGTCCATAACCCTGTAATTGACGTCACAGTCTTAGAGTGGTTGTCTTCACGTCACGTATTTTTTTTTCTTTAGCAATGGTTAGTTTTGTCTGTGTGCCGTCGCATGTGGTACTTTTGGCGAACACAGAATTTGCCGATGGTCGTTTGGTGTTTCATCTTGACCGATAAATCATGCCCCAATTTTTAATACAAGAACAGCTAAGGGGTAGTACAACGGGCCCACGACGCAGCGGAGAGACTTTGTATTTCTGTTCCGACGTGGGAGCGGCCTGCAACGTGCTGGAGCACGTTCCGAGGGACCGCAATTAAGTTCATCCATCCGTCCATTCATCCATTACGTCGGGATGAATTGACGGATTACTAACGTCCCAAAACCACCATATGAGTATGAGAGACGCCGTATAGTGGAGGGCTCCGGAAATTTCGACCACCTGGGTTCTTTAACGTGCACCCAAATCTGAGTAGAATGGTTGATCACAACAATAAGTAAAACCAACGGACGAAAAAAATCAAAGAAAGTACGAGTTATGGTATTTGTAGTAATTATGACGTAAATATGAAGGAAGTGGAGTGGACGAATAGATATCTTGCCGCCAGCAGGAACCAAATCTGCGACCTTCGAATAACTCGTCCTAAGCTCTATCAACTGAGCTACTGCACGCGGTGATTCCCTCGTCTACATTATGGGGTGAACATGTGCATTGAAACGTGGGAGTGTTAGTCGGGGCCACTATATAGCAGCCATGATGGCGAGTTTGGGACACTCATCTTCTCTCTGCTGGCGTCACGAAGGATTGTTGACGTTTGTACACGATATTGATGCGGTTAATATACTCTGATTCGCAGGATACATCTTCGGAGCCTGACGTACGAGGTGCCTCCTACACCTGCGCCTAAAGCCTGGTGACCTCCAGGTGAGCTTCTTTGGGAAATTAGGTTATACTACTGCCACCGCCACCTGGCTTCGCAGGCCATCAGTTCAAAATGTCATGCGAACCCTTGTGCACTTCTATAAAAGGCAATGGAAGCAAGTGAGCACCTGTTTCTCATTCTCTGTCTAAGCGTCAAAGGGTGGCACAAAGCGTTCAGTGACGGCGTTTAACAGCGGGAAGTTTTTCACAATATGCCCGCTTATGCGAAAAGGTCGCGGTCGTCGAAGCTCGGGATGTCTAACGGGATCACGCGAATTTTGATACAGCGCCCTCTTGCTATATTACTGAACTCTTTGCGCGCAGAAGTCAGGCGCTTGGAGTTTTTTTTTTTTTTATGCAGGGACAAACTATGTGTATGACAGCACGTAATTCACCCTCTCCCCACTCAATCAACGTTTCGTCTAGTTCTCTTGTTGGCGAAGACTGAAGTCCGTACCGTAGTCTGAACCAACATTGTCTGAACAGCATCTATAAAGCAAAAGGCAAACATCTTAGAAGGCTGCTCAGTGGACACTGGACTTGAGAAGTGCTTGTCATCAGGAGTAATGTGCGGCTATATACGCAGTGTTGTGATTGTCCGTTTACTCTGCGTAGAACTTGAACAGAAGTGGCCGCGTGAGACCGTTCTATCCTAAATTGAACTACAACGAAAGAACTTGCATGTTATTTCCTTTGTGTAAACTTACTAAATGTTATTTCTTTACGGCTTTTTAGGTGATATGGAGAGTAAGCGATTCTTTTTTTATTTGTGCGTGTATGCTACAGAACTTGTAGGATTATAATTGTTGGGGCTTAACGACCCAAAACCACCGTATGATTATCAGAGAGGACATAGAGGAAGGCTCCGGAAATTTCGGCCACCTGGGTTTTCTTTAGTTGTTATGTGGTTCATAAAGGAAAAAGAAGAAAAAAGTAAGCCCTGTAACTGTCTGCATCAGGGTGCGACATCTCAGCAGTAGCTCACAAGGGACGGGGGTAAATAGGGATTAAAAGGATATGATTAAAAGGTATATATAGAGAGAGCAAGGAGAGAGCTAGGCGAAGGGACATGGAGCGATGTAAGTAAAGAGCAGATAGAAAAGATGGACGCGGTCGCAGGAGTCAGAGGACGGGGCACCACTCGTTGAGACCTCTTTTCGGCGTCAGGAGATGGCGTAGGCGCAGTCCAGTCGGCCAGAGCTGCACTGTCGTCGGAGATCGCGAAGGCACAACCAGTTGGCACGAAATCCAGCGAGCGAGTCGGGGTTCTTTAATGTACACCTAGAGTACACGGATCTCGATCATTTTTGCCTTCATCGAAAATGCTGCCGATGCGGCCGCGATTCGATCCCGCTATTTGCAGGTCAGCAGCCTTAACCACTAGACCAACATAGTGGGTCCAGAATTTGTATAAATGGAGTAGTCCATGTGATATAAAGCAGAACCTCTCAAGAGCGAAGCAGTTAGAGCCAAACAGAATAGAATACTGCGATGTATCCTTGGAAGCTAGCGTCATAGGAAATAAAAGAGGCGCTCCAATTTTCTACTGCGGCAAGTGTCGGAGGTTTGACCCGTGAATAGATCAGCGATCGGTTAGGAATCTATTCAGCGAGACAGCACAAGCAAGCACTATCAGAGAAGGCCGGGACTATTCGCAGTGACAGCTATGCTCAACGACAGAAGCGTCTGTAGTGAAATTTTTCGTCGCTCAGTGATCGGCTATAAGAGTACACTTAACAAGAGTGAAACTCCACGTTCGGGTCAACTAGTGGTGTAGCCAGAGGGTGGCAAACTGGGCCCCTGACTCCCTCCCTCCAAATGTTTTTTTCACCGGGGCATACAGAGCGATAAATGACCGTTTCATGGAAGTGCCCTCCCTGCCGAAATCAAGGCGGCGCCTGACCTCCCCGAAAAAATTTCTGCTTACGCCCCTCAGGGCAACCCGGGTCGTTTAAAAAATCAAGCTTTGATCTAATGTAAAAACAAAAAGGGTGTGATTGCTCGCAGCTATCACAGCTCCTTAGAGCCAGATGTGACTTGTAGGTGGTAATGCAGTTGCTTCCTCTGAAGGAGTAACTGCGTTGCCCATAATAACTTCTGCTTCCTTTGGGGAGCAACTACAAAATGGGATGAACGGTTCATGTGCATGACAGTTACTCTCTTGCAGAAAGAACTGTAACTACCCCCCTTCCCGTGTTGCTCCCCAAGAACTAAATGGCACTCCCGCCAGTAGTACCTGCAGGGCCAATTGTTAGACTGTGCACTTACGTTTTGAGGAGGAACTGCTGATGCTTCCAATCACTCCCCAAGAAATAAAAATCATTGTTTAATTTTGTTTATTTCCCTATACTATGGGCCATAACAGACATTAGCAGGAGTGCCAATCTAAAGACAATTAGTAAAAAGCACGGCACTAGAAATTAACAATGCCACTGGCAGTGTAATACGGTTTCATCCCAAGACTATAATACGTACAAGATAACAAGTAAATAGAAAGGGACATTTAACAACAACTTTTCCGGTGTCATTTAGTCCTCCATATCTATAGTTACTCCTATGTGTTCACATATTATTTCGAACACGCTTTTTTTAGACACTCACCTTTCGATCCTAGCACGGCCATCACTTCACCGGCAGTGCAGCTCCATACTGATGTCCTTGAGCAGCGGCTGCGGTGACTGCAGGTGCCGGTGAATGCTTGGAAGCAGGTGGGAGGGGACACAGGCCCCGTGTAGTGGACCCCCGATAGCTCGAGCACGTGGTCCGTCGCCATCTTGGCGTTTAGTGGTGAGCGTGGTGCGAACTTCTGCAATGAAAGACATGAACATAATGTCGTTGGCAGTCACCGCTTGAGAGAGAGAAATAACGAGAGGCCTATGAAGAAAGTGCCGGGTTTTTGTATGAGTCTGTCCCCAGTGGGTGATTCCCTCATAGCGTGAAGGTGTAGGGAAACTTCTGATTCGCTAACCCACACTGAGAGGAAGCAGGCATGAAGAACGCGAAGAATGACGTAGAAGAGAAACAGTGGTGTGCGATAGGAATATTGAGAAAGCGCGGGATCTACAGTTACGGTTGCTCTACTCTGTAACGCAATCTATTCTCCAGTATCCTTAACTGCTTTTGTGTTTTCGATGCCAGTGGTTTGTATATTGGTAGTTCTGCTATGAAACAGAAAATGTCAACAACGTTCTCGCGAACAGAGGCGTTAAAGAAGTTTCACATTCGCGGTTGCAGTGCATAATACTTGTGAGTATACATGGTATAGGTATACAGTCTTTTTTAAAAGCATGTCTAAAGATGATTTAGATGAGATGGCAGGCGTTGTATTTCAACATGCTCTCCATTGCATAATTTAAATGTCGCTTCGTACATGAATTGTTACTTCGGGACGACTCCTGATAGTCAATAACAGAAAGACGACAGAGGGTCAGGCAATCGAACCAGCACAGAAATTGTGATTCGATCTGCATGGATGACGAAAGATTAGGATCCAGAAATGTAAGCAGATATGCCCGGCACATGCGCGGAATCACAGCCACCTGCTTAACAGTTTCATCATTCAGTGTACATTTCAGGAGTTCTTATCGAATTAATCAAGAGTTCAGCTATAGTTTCTATAACCTTCTATTAGTGTATACATTAAAGAGACCATAAAGATGTACAGCCTAGAGATATAGAAAGAGGAGCTACGAAAGGCTAACTAGACGCACGTCTGCTTTGCTATCCTCACTGGGGAAGAGAAATAAAGGTGCGAAATGAGAAGCAGAAGAAGAGAACAAAAAATTGACAGACAGAATCACGGTCCCACTTGGGGGAGCTCACATTTGTTCAGTTTAGGTACATCAGTTCGCTTTCAGCGACTTCTATGCCTGTGATGCACATCTGATTGGCATCAAACGGTGTTTGGTTGTATCCTTCATGATACAAAAAATTGCGGCATAAGCCGCGTTTCATTGCCTATCAACTTCAATGCGAGATGGCTTGAATGAAAAACCTGCTTTGACGGCCACGACTGTTGATTTTGAAGATGGTTATGTAATTATTATTGCCATAATCTTGATAATTGCCGTAATCGTCATCGTGCATAATTGTCGCGAGCATCAAAAGCATTGTGGGCGACATAGAATTCGGTTGATTGTCGTTTCTTTGATTCACAGTCAGTGCGTGTGCAGACCATTGATGCTCCCTCATTAGCGTACACTGCAGTGTATGGCTTTGTAGTGGTACCATATCAACCAGACTGAAGCATGAAATGGTATTGCGGTGCTATTCATGAAAGGCAGGTACTGAACGAAAAGACAAAAGCCTGAAAGGGACCCACGTGAGCAAAGAAAGGCGAAAAAAATATGTTTACACTCGTTAAGAAACTGAAGTTCTTAACAATATTTACTAAAAAAAATTGTGGCACTGCGGTCGTTCAACTATCATGAGAAGGATTACTAGTTGCATGCAGTTGCCTTGCCTTCGTGCTAGCGGCTTCGAAAGCACTTGTGGTTTTCTTCAGCGTCGTGCTTTTGCTTTCGTGTCGGATAAAAACAAATTACAGAATATTCACGGAGTAAATATTCTGTAATTTCCCAGAGTGAATATTCTGTGGGGCGAAGCGTTTTCTGTGGGTTGAAGTGTATTTTTCACGGAGTGAATATTCTGTGGGGCGAAGCGTTTGTCAGTCCGTCCGTGCTTTCATCCACCCATTCGTTCTTGCTTCCGTCCGTCCATACGTCCATCCGTGCGTCCGTCCTTGAGTGCGTCCATCCGTGTGACCGTCGGTGCATCCATCCGTCCATGCGTCCATCCGTACGTGCAGCCATGCATCTGTTCGTGTGGCCGTTCCTCGGTCTGTCGGTCCGTGCGTTAGCCCCTCTGTCTGTCTGTGCATCCGTCATTTCGTCCGTCTATCTGTACGTCCATCGGTCTATCCGTCTATCTAGTGAACACTCCAAGTACAGCCATCTCACATCTTTTGGTCACGTATTCATCATATACAAGTGCCGCCATCCAGCGTACGTTCTAAGGACCGCTTTTTCGGGTATGTGCCACCAGTGGCTACATACACCACCAGAGAATAGACAGACCCACACCCTCAGGAGCTTCGCCCCTAAAAATAGCTCATTGTGAGGCTATTGAGTGTCCTAGAAGCGATGGGCTTAAAATGGTCAAGGTGGTGAAGTGGGACTCCTAATTTTGTTTTCATAATTTTCACTTTTAAAATAAAAAAAGCTTGGACGTAGTTTAACAGTGTCTTGGGCTGAAAGAACGAAGCAACAGGCTAATTCATCTACTACCCATCATTTCCATGCTGACTGAAGCGTACGTCATTCGTTGTAGCCCTCACGGACACCGATGCTACGTTTTCCCATTGTGCATTATCAAGAAGGTCTATTGTTAAAAACACTCTCTGTCTTGAAATTGCAATACGCTATAAATTTATGATTTGCTGAACAACAAAGTTATCGACTTTCGCATCATACCATTTTATAATATATTTCAAGCGTAGTTAGTTGTAGCATCCGCTGCGGTTCATAGCGTGCAGGCATAGCGGTGAAGTATACATTCGTTAGGCTGCGGGCCATTGTAAGGAACAATGCTTAAGTGTCTGCTAAGAACTTTTGCACACGTTACATGTAGAAGCGTTGCCTGTGCACTCATTTTCGATGCACAACGTATATAACAACGAAGAAAAACACACATTTTTTTCCCGAGCTTTCTCTGTGTGCCATGGCAAACTCGGAAGCCATGCTTCATCGCTCTCGCTACGGGCCACAGCTTCACTCCACTGCTTGCGAACGTTACTTTGGTTTAGTTGAATACATTAAGTCAATGCGGCAACCTACCTATTCTGGTTAGAAGTTGTGAGGTGTCGAGACTTCCAACGAAATGGGTAAACACGGTCGCTCCTCATCTGATGAAACTGTGTTCCCGCATTTACTTCATTAAACTGCAATAACGCTGCTCCATCGAGTGATTTTATACAGGAAACTGTAGTACAGTTGACACGCTTGACGTTAGCGTAAACTTCATCTTGCAATGATTGATCCGGTTTCTAGTAATGTTAATTGGGGTTTTACAAATTCACGATATGATCATAAGGCACGAGGTATTGGGGGGGGGGGGGGGGGGGACGCATGGAAAATTTCGGTCATCTGGTATATTCGTTAACGATCAATGACAAAGCACAGTGGATTTCACCTGTATCGAGATGCTACTGCCACTTATTGGATCGAACTCGCGAGCCTTCGGGTCAGCAGCCGAGAACCATACTCGTTGAATCATGGAGGGTAACTAATTTCGAGTACTAGGACGTAGAAATATATCTTTTGATGTTGTCGTTTCACCGCGGTTCTGAACGCCTCGCCTGTCTCTATAGTATTACGTTGCAGTTTCATTACCGTCACGGTAACGCCTTCCGACGTACCACATGACGCATCACTCGAGAAACGCCCCCGACAGATACGTTTCGCGACAGCACGTCTGTTCTACACCGCTACTGATAAAACGGCAAGCCCAACTGGTTCAGCTTACCGAATGAGGCGTTTATCCAGTTCGCTCTTCCGCGTTTCCGGCGCTGCAGAACACACGGATGGCGTTATATTGGCGTCTTCTTCGGCGGGGTCTTTCCACCACCGCGCACGCTTTGGTAACCGAAACACCGCTTCGTACGTACACACGCAGCACGCGTCGCCTACTTCCCCTCTTCAAGGTGTTTGCATACTTCCCTCTCTGCCGCGTGCTGCGTCGCCTACTTCCCTTCTTCAAGGTGTTTGCGTACTTCCCTCTCTGCCACGCAATTTCCTCCTCTCCAGAGAGAGGGGAAAGGGAACAAAAGGAATAACGGCACGTCTACGCTTCTAAACGATGCGCTTGCGAGTCAGCGTCGAGCCGGTACGTCGAAGACGCCGCAAGGACGACCGATGCGTCGGGCACCCTCGCAAAAGTTCTCTCTCGTCTTGGAAAAAGTAGACAACAGGGACCGTGGCGAGGGTGGTGCTTTTAAAACGCGTAGGACGACTCCCAGCACGCCGCTTATTCTTTTTTTTGACCATTTGTTATTATTTTCTACTCCGTCTTAACGCTTTTACACCTGCGTCATTTTTTGTTCTTGTTGCGTCTCGACTTTTCAGGCCAAGTTTGTTGCCGCGCGCGCAGCTGGCTGCAGACCGAGATGAGAAGTCGAAGGTGGTGACTTGGCCTCCCCGCCCGACTGCAGGATGTTGGTGGTAGTGTGGGTTGGTGGGACATCAGAAACGTCGCCTCCGAGCTCCCACGTTGCTTCGCATCGCCGGCGAAACCGAGGGAACAAACGAAAGACGCCGCGGGAGTTGATACATAACGCATTCGTGCGTGGCGCGTGTTTGTGTGTCAGTGTGAGCGCTTTTTTTTTTTCGCGCGCTGGAAAACGCATGTGCGGTGTGTGCGTGTGTGTCAGTCGCGGACGGTATACGCTCGCTTGTACGTCTGCTTTTGTGGGCTTCGCTAGTTCGTCTGCTACCTAAAGTCACTTCGTCTGTTATCGCCTTCAAAGTATGTGAGGGAGTTTTCGTGGCGAGCGAGTGCGTTGAGAGGGAGTAAGACGCGTAGACGGGAGGGAGTTCTGCGAATCGCTGTGAGCAACGGTGCCTCTTGGCGCGTCATGCCTGGACCACCGGAACGCGTTGGTTGTGCCTGAACGTAGCTCGAAAGGCCTTACTGGGAGGACGCTGGATAACTCGTCGCAGACAGCGCGGCTCCGATAGATCTGGGTAAGCGCCGGTTTTTATACGACCCTTTACTATTACGGTAGGCGGATCAGTGGTTAATTAGTACGCG